TTTCGCGGTTTAAGGGTGAGAGGTTTAGGTTTGGGGCTTGGAAACACATAGCAACATTCCCTTATCGCCCCTATGTACGTCGTTACAGCATAAAGTACTCCCAAATCCTCTTAAAATCATGTAAGTCCATGTATTCAGCTATATCGGTAGGCTTGTCGCCCTGAGGTCTAGCCTAAACTCCAAACTCCAAACCGAAAGTCCAAAACCTTGAGCCATATTGCAGAACCCGTCAGCGCCCCCGGCAGCTGCGCGCAAAGCCCCCCGCACAGCAGGGTACCCGCGCTTCTTGGGCCGGGTCCATGGAGCCATGGTGAGGGTGGGGCGAGTCGTTGCCAGAGCGGAAAACAAGGGGTGCAAGTGCAGGGCCTCGCCTTAGGGCTTCAAGGGTTTAGGGTTTAAGGTTTGAAACAGTACGATGAGAGGGATTTTTTGGCTATTCTAGCTTTCCTTTTCGAAAAATTACGATGAGATTAGATTCTCGGTATCAGACCCCAGAGCACTGTGCAGACCCGAACGTGTACCTGGTACCTTTATCTCTTAGAACAAATGCGAGTTTCCGAATGTGGGGGGACCCTAACGTAGCACCCTAAATAGTAGGATCCTTATTACAAGGACCCCCCCCAATTAAGGTACCTCTTATTCTCGGAAACTCCCAAAGAAGACCTAAGCCCTACGTAAGATGTGTTATTCAATACCTACGAGCAGTTGCACATCACACAAGACACATTCTCAGTACGTATGCATGTGTGTATGTATGCATATACGTATGTATGCATGCATGAATTCAGGCATGTGTACATGCATGCATGGATACAAAGATGGATGCATGGATGGATGCATGGATGAATCCATGAATGGATGCATCCATGTAATTATGGATGAATGGATGTATGGTTGTATGTATGTATGTATGTATGTATGTATGTATGTATGTATGTAAGAATGCATGTATCACATGGCAGTGTTTGTGTGTGTATGTATGCATGCATGCATGTATGTATCTGTGTTTATAGCTAAGCACACATTTGTAGGCATGCGCGTGCATGCATGCATGCATGCGCGCACACACATGCATACATATGTCTGTATCTGTATGTATGTATATATATATATATATATATATATATATATATATATATATATATACTCTCGGGTCCCAGGCCGCCACCCCCCCCCCCCCACCCTCCCCACCCTCCCCACCCCCCCCCCACCCCAATGGTATCACCCCCACCCCCCCCCGCTGCTGCACGCCCACCCACCCTGCACCCCGGCCCGCCCGCACTTTGCCCGCCCCTTGACCTTGTGCGCGGATCGGGAGTGTCGCACTATGCCTTGGTGCGGAAAGCGGCAATCGGCTCAGTAGTTTCCAGCATCTGACATGAATTGCAATGCTGAATTATGAGGGTTGTATGGCGATGGTGATGGTGGCAGATATTCTTTTGAAGGTACTAATGATGAAGATGACGACGACAAGGATGATGTTGAGCATGGTCTGATTGTCGACTCATGTCCCGGTCTAGAGCAGCACAACATCTTGAGCAGTATCACCGGTGCCACAGCAAGAGGGAAGACAAGGAGTAACACATAAGAACGTCGCGGCAAAAAGAGTACCACCACAGGCCCCACACCACAGGGGGGGCGGGGGGGAAGGGGGGAGGATACCATGGGGTGGGGGGGGGAGGGGGGGTGTGGCAGCCTTGCATCATATATATATATATATATATATGGGTTTGTTTATAAACATATATACAGAGAGAAAGCATCACACCGCAATAGTGTGAATGAGTAGGAAAATAGCTAGTGAGCTAGTTGGGCTCAAAGACACAGACCTGTAAGAGAGAGCGACAGAGATCAAAGATGGCTGGGTACATATGTACATACATACATACAGAGAGGTATATATGCATACACACACACACACACACACACACACCTTCTCTGTGTGTGTATATGTGTGTGCATATACATATATATATATATATATATGGGTGGGTGCCGGCGTGTGTAAACAAGTGGTAGGAAACTAGATCGGTCGGTGGGCTGGTGGATGGGTGGGTCGGCGGATAGATAAGCCGATATGTCTGAGCTCATGTACGTAGTTGTTTGTGTATTTGTACATAGTTGCATGCGTATCTTGCATACTGGCCATAAGAGTAGTATTCGTAGTCGTCGTCGTTGTCGTCAGCCTCGTAGTAGTAGTAGTAGTAGTAGCAGTAGTGGTTGTAGTAGTAGCAGTAGCAGTAGCAGTAGCAGTAGCAGTAGCAGTAGCAGTAGCAGTAGTAGTAGTAGTAGTAGTAGTAGTAGTCGTCGTAGTAGTAGCAAAACTATCATCAGCATAGCAGCAGCAGCAGAAGTCGTCGTCGTAGTAGTAGTAGTTGCGGTGGTGGTGGTAAACACAACATGACAGACAGTTCTAATCAGAGCAGTCATGATTCTGGCCGTAGCTGTCCGAGCTGGCAGACATGATGCTCGAAAAAGCATTGACAAAATTGATTCGAAGGCTCTCCGATTGGATGATCTCTGCAAAGGCTACAAGAAGGAGGCCCCTCAGCGCTGGAATGCAGCTTTCTGCACTTCAGGGGTTCAGGGCCTCAGGGTTCAGGGTTTGGGGATTTAGGTTTTGATTATGGCTTTAGGTTTCTGGAGCTTTAGGCGTGTAGGGCCGTTTAGGATTTAGGTTTCCGGGTTTTGCGGGCTTTGGCAACCACTACTTGTTTTTGCGTTCGCTATACTGGCTGCTATGTTCTACTGCAGAATCGCTTTGTTTACGGTGGTGCCAATTTCAACCCTACCCTAGGGCCCCAAAGAAGTTCCTGTGTGGGGTTCATATTTGGCATCCTATAAGGTAATCCCAAAAAGGAACTACTTTGGGGCCTTTTTGGGGTTTATATTTGGAATCCTGTAAGCCAATCCCGAAAAGGAACTACTTTGGGGCTTATATGGGTAAACCCTAAATTCCATACGCCCAAAGCCCTAACCCTCGCAAGCCAAAAGCCAAAGTCTTGCTCAAGGCAGAAACGCCCCAAGCTTCTTCAAGCCCTATAAGCCAGAGTTTCGGTTTGAGGCTTTGCAAGGGGGGTGTTTAAACTGTTTCCTAGTAGTCGCGTAGGTAACCTTTAACCTTTTTTGGGTAGTATAGCCCCTATATAATCCCTATATAGCCAAAAAGCTTAACCTTTAGTTCCCCATGATACCCGACAACTAGGGTTTAGGGCCCTTCACGAAGCCAATCTGCCGGAGATCGTATCTTGAAGGGCAGGGCAGAGCGTGTGCTACTACGTTGCCACGTACCCCTGGGTTCCCAATGAACTCTTTTTGGAGACTCTTCTCTGTGGCTTCGGTTTAGGGTTAGGGGTTTAGGATTGAGGCTTCAGGGTGTGAGTGGGCCTACACAGGCTTGAAGCTTGGTTCACGACCGTAACTCCACTCAAAGGAGCATGTTTTGAGCCTTCACGTTGGGCACTGTACAAGCATACAGGGGATAATCTAAACCAGCAATCCCGATCATGCATGAGCGTATTCGGGAGACTCCCCAGAGACTCCAATGTCCCTTAGTTAAGGAATAGACCTTAATTTGTAATAGGATCCCGAATATGATTTATGGAATATTCCTTAATGGAGGGATATTGGAGTCTCTGGGTCTAAACCCAAAACCTCAGGTGGACAAGTGGAAGGCCAAAGCAGAAGCCCTAGACGAGGACCGGCTCTGGTTTCCGCAGGATTTTTTGTGTCGGAAGCCGTATCTTACAGAAAGCGCTCTCTTGCGTGGCTTCCGAGAAGTAATAAGGACTAAATTCTACGTTTTTATACTACTATAGGGGCCTAAATAGTTACCAACACTATTCTGGGGGCTCTTTAGTGTAATTATAGTATAGTGGGCCACAAAACCCTATTCTACGGATGCAACAGACATCTCAATCTTTATTCGCCTCAGACGCATGTCCGATCCAGCCCCAAAACCCTATTCTGAATATTAAGGCCCCCTTAGTATAATTATAGTATAGTGGACCCCAAAACCCTATTCTAATCATTAAGGCCCCTGTGCTGAATCCTTATAGTAGCCCCTATAGTATCCCTTAAAGACCCCTTTAAAGCGAACCATATTCTAATCGTTATACTGGAGATCTCCCTGGAAACCCGGGCCCCAAGCACCTCAACCTCGCCATGCCCAGTCTTAGCTTCGAGAATCCCAAAGCCAAGCATCGAAAGAAGGCTACCCAGAGCTCTACTTGTAGGTTCATGGGTAGTTATGAGGGCTCCTTTAAGGGTCCCTGTTTAGGGCCTACTTGGAGGTTCAGGGGTAGTTATAGGTAGGGTTAGAAGGAGGGTAACTGTACTTATAACCCATAGTAGGGGACTTATAACCCTACTTAGAACTACCCATGAACCTCCAAGTACTTTTCAAAAGCCCCGAAAGACAAGGTCTTGTTAGAGTTTAGATGGATCTATGAAGCTTGCCGATGGGCTTCAAAGTCTAAGTATCTTCACCAAGGGCTTTCTAGGGTTCGAGTAGGATTTTGCAGGCACTAGTCGGGGGCTTTTTCAGGCTTTAGATGTCTTTAGTATGCTGACTTCCACAAAAATCGTGAGCAAGAGTCCAGCATGTGAAAGCACCGGAGCCAAAAACCCCAAGCCCGAAGCCCAAGACCTCAAAGCACCAAGCCTTCAGGACCGCAGATTCTTGGAGGACCAGATCAAAGGCCACGAACTGGGAAGAGGGTTTCCGGGTTTAGAGTTCCGCTCGCCTTACAAGGCTCAAGGGCTCCGAGCTCCGAGACATACGGGTTTCTTGTGGATTTATCGTCGCTGCGGACAGGTTACTTTCTGCAGATCCCGGTACATGAGCAGGGCGTGCTGCATAGAAGCCTTACCCTCGTTGCTCGGGCGAATGCAAATTTGCGGCATGAGCTGAGCCGTTTTTCACCCTTGCACGGTCTTGGCAAGCTATCCTGGCCCACAGCTCAGCCCTTGCTTGCATCGCCGCCTTCACCGACCCAGTAATGACAGAGGCCGAGGCCGTGTACCGCTACGAGTCCGGATACATCTCCCACAGCGCGAAGAAGGATTATGGGCCATTGGACTTCACCGGGCGCATAGCCGGAGGTTTGCGACTCGACATTCGCAGGAGGGCGCCGCTATTTTGCAGTGATTGGACGGATGCCTTCATGCCAGAGAACTTCCAAAAATCGGTGTCTTCAATCTTGTATCTGTTCCTTGGTTCTTCACTTTACAGCCTGGTTCTTATACTTTAGTCGTATTCTGAAGCGGTATCCTTTCGAACGGTTTTTGGGGTAGTGGAGAAGTAAGGTTCATAGCAGCCCTTGCCCCTGCGATTACCTTCGGCAGCCGGTTCCTTGATGGCACGAATGGCCAGTTCGGAGTGTTGGAAATGATAATGAGCACGTCGATATCGGGGTTGATCTTCTCAACATTTGCGGGGCAGCCGTTGTCAATCCTTGGAGCTACGGGTCCCTTCTTGGCCTACACCTTGGTCGTCTACGACCTCGCGATTGCGGTCGACATAGAGTTCATGCCATTTTACTTCTGGACCTGCATGTGGTGCTCGGTGTTCACTATCCTCGTGGCGGTGTTCGACCTCTGCGCACTCATGAAGCACGTGACCATGTTCAGTGAGGACATTGTTCATAAACCCTAAAACCTATACCCTAAGCAGCCCTGAACCCTAGACTGTACAGCGTTGAGGACATCTTCGCGGGACTGATATCTTTGATCTTCATCATCGACGGAGTGAGGCCAATCATCGAAAATTTCGCGGAGAGCAGGCTCACGCTCACGAATTGCATGTTCGAGAGTTTGCTTTTCCTATGGACATTTGGATGGGCCACATACTTGTCCAGCTTCCGGCGTACACCCTGGACATTCCGAGCCATCCGCAACTTTGGGGCCAACTTCGCGGTCACCATCGCCTTGGTTTCGGGTTCAGCAATGGCCGCCATTTACTCGAACGAGACGGGCTTGAGGATGTTGCAGGTAGATGCTGACTTCGCCCCGAACTTGAGCTTGTCCGATGGCAGCAAGCGGCCCTGGATCGTGAATCCTGCGGGCATCGACCGCCCGTTCCCGGCTTGGGGCATTGCGTATGCTGTGCTGCCAGCCATTGGCTTTGCAGTGTTGGGATACTTGGATCAGAACCTCACCAGTGTGATTGTGAACCGACCATCCAACAACCTGAAGAAGCCTCCTGCATATCACCTGGACCCTCGGTTGGTAATTGAGGATGTTCTGGAATTCATTTTAGGTTTTCTGCGTGTTGAGGGCCAATAAATTGCAACCCTAGGACCTGTTCGTGCGTGGTGCACTCACACTTCCTGTTTGCGCAGTGCTGGGCCTGCCCCTCTCCGTGGCCTCCACGGTGCCGAGCATCACGCACGTGATCTCGTTGACCACTTACGAGGTGCAGCAGCTTCCGGAAGGTGAGCGCAAGGTGCCTACGAAGGTAGTGGAACAGCGCGCTACTAATTTCCTGATCCATGTGCTGATAGGGCTTGCGCTCTTCCTTGCGCCGGTGCTGAAGTTCTTGCCGCGGGCCGTGCTCCAGGGCGTGTTCTTCTACATGGGCATTGCATCCTTGACCGGCAACAACTTGTTCGACCGCTTGAAGCTGTGGCTCATCTGGGACCCGGCCAGGTACCCACAGTACCACTACGTCCAGAAGCTTCCGATCAAGCGGGTGCACCTGTACACCTTGGTCCAAGTAGTCTGTCTTGGCATTCTCTATGGTTTGAAAGCCATTAAGGAAACCTCCGTAGTGTTCCCGTTCTTCATGGCGTCCTTGGCCATCATTCGCAAGGCCCTGAAGTGCATGTTCACGGAGGAGGAGCTGAAGCAGCTGGACTCTCTTCCTGGGGATGATGATGAGGAGGTTGAGGCATCAAAGCCGGGAGCCGATCTCGTAAACCTGGAGGGGCAGGACGAGACGTCTAAGAAGGAGGAGATGACGATCTGAGAAGACTGAGCTGAGCGGGCCTAAGTTTTGGTAGCCTGGCACGCAGACCAGGCACTTGAATCTGTTCCTATGCTCATCACGAGCAAACATGTACAGAAGTTCTTCCATATTTTCCCTTGGACACTGGTTTCAAGCGCTTGGCAGCTTCCGAGTCCGAGGATCCTCCGAGCCACCATTGGCCTTGGAGGGCAATATACAGACACGTTTTTCTTTCGACTGAGAATAGTCCATGCTAGGAATCTTGGTAGCATGCACGTTCAGTGGTGCGGAGCTCGCGAGCTTTGCACTGGGCCGAACTGCGGCCCATACACCGGTGAAGGCTAAAGCAGTGGCCTTGGCCTTTGCCTGAATTAAGGGTCCCTTCCAGGCACCCGATGCTCCTGCTCCTGCTTGCTCGCTCAAGGCGCGCCAGCACATGCAGCGTTGTGTCAGACTCCTCATCTCCAAACGCGCTCCCGCGCAGCAGCGTGGCGACAAACAGCGAAGCTGCCATCGGCTGCCACCCGAGAAGGTTTTGCGCAAGGGTTATCAGGGATTACTATGTCTAGCCTCGCGTAAGTTTCTACATTAGGACTGCTGTGTAAGGCGGTTGCTAAACGGCCTACTACATGACGGCTACTGTATGGGTTGCCAAATGGATCTACAAGAAATGTTGCGTAGGTTGCCCAGTTGTGAATGTTCGTAGCTAAACTCGGTTCCGCGTTTTGCAGATCTGCCACGGTTCACTGTATGCATGTTACGCATGTAACTTACACTGCTCCGCTCTCCTTCCAGGTGTTGCCAGCGAGCACTAAAAAGGCCCCTCCTAAACCCTACAATCCTAAACCTCAGAAACCCCGAGAAACGCTTTTGATCTTCAGCTCGCTTGATAATAAGAATGGTGGTAATGATGATAATAATCGTAATAGAAATAAACATGATAATGGGCCAGCCGTATAAAGCCCCATGCTGGCGCAGCTTCTAGAAAGCCCTCTCGCGCAGGTGCCAAGAGGCAGAACAAGGCAACTTCGCAACTCCTCGGGTTCCGGCCGGGCAGAACATAGGCTTCAGGAATTTAGGGGTTTCTATGGGCTCGGGTAGAATTCTCATGTCAATGCCTTAATTTAAGGGTTCCTTCATGTAGATATAGGCTATGGCGCCCCCGAGCCTTTATTTGATTATTTAGGGTCCCATATGTTTGGGGGGTTCAGAACGCCAACGCGTGCCTTACTTACGGCGTCCACAGTACGGATCTGGCGTAGGGCTTAGGATTCTACATTGGGATGCCCTATTCTCTGCAGCTCTGCCAGAAAGGGGGTTTAGCAATTATTCTCATAAAGCTGCTTGCAACAGCAACCCTAAACCCTAAACCCGAAACACTTTACTACGGAAGGGCGGTCTCAGGGTGCACGGGTTCTCGGAGTTTCACTGGCCGGGCTACCTTGGTGATCTTTAACCTATGATACGCCTTATCCTAGTAGTAGAGTAGGTAACCTTGAGCCTGTTTGGGGTATCAGAATCCATATATTATTATCCCCAGAGGTTCACTTCTAGTTCCCCAGGACGACACGTACGTTACTGTGACTTGTCATAGGCTATTTATTAACATTGTGTTGGGGTGACAAGAGGCTTTTCGTGTAGGATGTATAGGAGGCCCTACAAAACCTGCACTTCTCCATTCCACCCCCAAGCCCTCAAGTCCAGACCCTGAAGTCAGAAGTTGTTTGCAGCTCACAGCTTTCAGATGTTTGGGTTCTTTGTCTCATGCTTCTGATAGGTGTTTATAGGGTGTTTCGCAGAAGGTTTTCAGAAGGCCTTTATGAGGCTTTGATAGCAAACAGGTTTTAATCCAAAGCTTTTTTCGGACGGCATTACCTCCTGTATTATACATATGGTGTAACATACCCCAAATCCCCATTCTGATTATTGAGGCTCCGATACTAGAAGGTTTTATGTGAGCTTGGCCCATGAAGATCAGGATCTCTCAATGACAGGTCCCAGAAAGCACCGAGAGTTGGGATCCTTGTTGCAGGGTCTAGGAGGGTCTGGGGTTCAGGGCCCTTAGGGTCCAGGGGTTTAGGCTTTAGGGTTGGAGGGTCGGGTGGTTTTGGGATTTAGGGGTTTTCGGGCGGCTTTTTGAGGCTTGCGCCAGACCCCTCGGCCCTGAGCAACAAAGTCTCTAACCCCAATCGAGCCTAGACCCTAAACCCTATACCCCCATCGCCGACCCCTAGACTGCGATAGACCTCGTTGGTCTGCCTGGATTTGTGGCAGGAGCAGAGCCCTCAAGGGGATCTTGAAGCAAGTATTGCGACCCACAAGCACAGTCAGACCGGAGTACTGTTAATGCCCCTAGAATCCTAGTTCCTCCGGCCCCAGAGACAAACTGACGAAGTTTTCGAAGATGGAACAGTTTCCTGGGAAGTCATCTGTTGGCCCTCACCCACCCGCCGAGGCCCCCAACCCTAACAACATAGAAGCCTGAACACTTGCCAACATTATCCCCCCCAAAGTGTTCCCTGGGGTTCCTCATTATGACTATACCCGAAAGCTCTATTCTAATATTAAGGCGCCCATAGTAAAGCTGCACCCACGCAATCCCCAACCTTGAGGCCCACCACCGCACCCCGGGGCTTTGAGCCCAAACACCGAAACACACCGAAACCTAAACTCAAAAGCTTAGACTTCAACACTCAAATCTCAAACCGAAGCTTCCAAAACCCTCCGGCCGCCATGGCTCGCCCACAGCAAGCACCGGCAGTTCCGCAGGGGTGCTTAGCTTGTCATACAGTCGGAAATACCTAGATTTCACATGCAAAATACATCTACAAACGCTCGTACAGGTTCATGTGTATGTATATAGATATTTGTATGTGTGCGCGTGTACAAATACACTCATGCTTACAAGTAGACATTTGGAAATGGAGATGCCTGCATATATTCACATATATGTACTTAACGTGCCTATGTTCCGACAAACCGGTTTGTTTTGTATGTTATGCATGCATACATGCATGCAGGAATGACCAATGTACGGATGTATGTATGTATGTATGACTGTACGTATGTACGTACGTAACTAGGTGTGCATGTAGGCATGTAGTAGGTATGTAGATATGTAGGCTAATATATATGTATCTATGTTTCTTGTTGGGTTCATTTGCTTGCTTGTTCGCGTGCCTGTATGTCTGCATGCTTAGACTCTCCCGATCTCATGCTCTTTCTCTGTGTCTTTTCGTTCCTCTACTTCTGTCTGTCTATCTCTCTCTCTCTCTCTCTCTCTCTCTCTCTCTCTCTCTCTCTCTCTCTCTCCCTCTCTTCACCATCTATCTATCTATGCCTTAGATGTCTGTCTAGCTATCTGTCTATCTATCTCTCTATCTATCTGGCTATCTATGGATCTATCCATCTATCGAGAGCGGCGAGAGAGGCTCAAGTGCTCCACATAGTTGTGATGGCCGAATGTTCGAGTATCTTGGTCCTTCTTTTGTTAGTTTGGCTTCAGTACGAGGTTTACGACCTTCGGATGTAATTGAGCTTCATGATGTTGACCCCCTCCTTCTGCACGGGCCTAGACATAATTAGCATCCCCACTCATTCCTTCAAGGATTTAACGGTAGCGTGGTTCTTTTCTCGCTTGTGCCCAGGGCAGTTGATTTGGGCGGTCGTAGCTCCAAGTAGTCGGTGGATTAATGGTGTCGCAGGTACAGGTCAAGTTGAAGAGCAATATCAGCCACCGTTATGCAAACTCTGTCTCGGTGCTCAGAAGGCATCACACGTAACCTTGCTGTGAGAAACTCGTATTGACGACGGTTTACTTGGTGTTGACCGAGCCTATCTCTGCGCAGTCGGAACGGTCATGATGCACAGGTTTGGATCATGTTCCGAGGTCCTCAGCGTCTTTATCGTCCCAGAACGACATGCGCTTGCAAGGTATCTTTGCAGAGGCCGGTCGTAACATGTTGGTAATACCAGCAACTTGTTTTGCGGTGATAGCGGTTCTTGGATATTTTGATAATAACTTCTCGTTCCTCCAGCTGAAGCGCCCCGATAAACCCTAAACCCGATTCCACACAGCCCATGAGACCTCGGTTTAGGACCCGCATTGGAGTACGGGGAAGCTACTCCCCGAAGGAGCTCAAGCTGTCTTGAGACGTTCGACACATTATGACATTATGATCCCTTTTTGTTGGATTCTTTGTCACGCTTTAGCGATCCTCTATGAGCAGCCTCACACTTGTGAAACCTTTAACTATACATTCCTTATAGCATTCCTCAGCAAGCCCTCTTCACATCCCTATTAAACCCTTGTAAAGATCAATGCAGGTCTCCAAGTGGCGAGACGAGATTCGTGACTGGCGGAAGCTTTCTGTGGAGGAGACGGCCAAGGCGCTGCCATGTTCTGAACCTGTCTCTTCGGCTACTGAAAGGATCATGGGACTTAGTAACTGGGGTTTATAAATAAGGTAACTATACTTATAACCGCTTATAATCCCACTTAAGGTACTTGTAACCTGACTTACTAAGTCCAATGATCCTCCAAGTGGGTAAGGACCTCGGGGCTTGACCAGCTCAAGATTAGGAGTTTTCTCCGAATCAGAGGGCTCAACATTCTGGTGATATGCCTAGGGCATGGTCCTGACAAATTATTCAAATCCCCTTTATTGCTCGGTGCGTTCCTTGATCTGCAGGATCAAGGACCCAATATTCTGATTTCAGGCTTTCAGGTATATTCCTCAATTCAGGAGATAGTTGGCTCTCGGATATACCGGTGCTAGTACTAGTACATGTAGTACTGGTAGCACTAGTAGAGCACAGTTTTGTTTCTACTAGAAGCAGTAGTGTTAGTAGCAGTAGCAGCAGCGCTGCTCCTGCTGCTCCTGCGACTGGCACGAATGCTCTCGAGTTGGTACGGCACGGAGCAGCAAGTCCAGCACCATGTCGAGGGGAGTCGAAAACCAGATGCACTCTAGTGTGAAACAGGCTTTAGGGTTCAAGGGCTTTCAGGGCTTGTAGCCCTTTCGGCTCTGGGGTTCAGGCATGGTTTGAGCTTCGACGAAGAGAGCATGAGTAGGCCATGCCACGGCTTCAGGATTTCCAGCGCGGTGAACCACCACCTGCTCCCAAGACGCCGCGTCTCTACTCGACGCATCTTAGGCTCGCGTGCCTCCGTGTCTGCCTCGTTTGTGATGGCCGGCGAAAGCACAGATTCTTGTCACTCACCTATAGACCTCCAGGGCTTCTGTCACTTATGCATCCAGAATCTCTAATCAGTGATGCTTCGCCGTGGTAAGACACAAGTTCTCAACAATCCGCTCCCTGTATTCAGGATTCATTTTGGTGGAGGTTCTCCATTCAGGTTTCTGAGGTGTAGGAGTAGCCATGGCCCAGGACTGATGCCTGACAAGGGTTAGTTTGCAGAGTGATGGAGGCTCCAGAACCCTGAACCCTAAAACCGAAAGACTGCCCCTTAACCCCAAGCTTCTAAGCCTAAACCCTTCCCCTCCTTAGAGGCGATCCGCTCCGGGAGTTCATTCATAGCTTCTCCATGTAAGGGTGGTCTGTTGCCCACAGCTTCAGCAACAACGTCGAATCAGCATCTGTATTGTGGTCTGGCTTCTGAGTTCCTTGCTGAGTTACCGTTACATTGCCTCAAGACAGGGATGTTTTGGATTCAGGGCCCTTTTCAGAAAGCCTTGAATCGACTTCTTCTTCAGTCACGGGGGGTTTTCATAAGTCTTAAGTTGAGGCCTCCATATCATGCGGATTTTTGCACTCTGGGTTTACTCTAGGGTATCCAGTTTTTTTGAAAAATCCTCAGCCCTAAACAGATCGAGAAGAGTTTGTTTAAACAAAAAGTCCAAAACCCAAAAACCCTGAACCCCTTTATAGAACCCTTTTTGATCCCTTGAAGGAGCCCTGAAAGATCCCCTTGAAAAGAATCGGTTCCTTCGGGCCAGAATTTGGAGCAGCCCCCTTGTAGGCGGCAGTCGCACTCCGTGGTCCGACAGCGCGAAGGTGGGCCTTGGGGGAGGGTTTAGGATCACTTAAAGGGATATACAGGGCTTGTTTTACAGGGTCTATAAAAGGGCTTAGGGCTCAGGGTTTAGGGTTACGTAGTTTAGGGTTTGAGAGTGGGTTCGGGTGGAGGGTTTGGGGTTTAGGGACTTGTGGTTTTAGGGTTTTAGGGTTTGGGGTCCGGCGCATTTTGGTTTCAGTTTTTCAGGTTGGGGGTGCTTCAAGCCCCCTGTCAACAGGGCACATGGGTCCAAAGCTCAAAGACTTCTTAGGGTTTAGGGTTTAGGGGTTTAGAGTTCAGGGTTTAGGGTTTAGGGGTTTAGGGTTTAGGGTTAGGGTTTAGGGTTTAGGGTTTAGGGGTTTAGGGTTTAGGGTTTAGGGGTTTAGGGTTTAGGGGTTTAGGGTGTAGGGCTAGGGTTTAGGGTTTAGGGTTTAGGGGTTTAGGGTTTAGGGTTAATGTGAGACCTTGCAGTATACTTTACGCCTCTCCCGACAAAGACATGCTTGTGATCGTGTGCAGATTGCACGAGGGCTGGGCAAAGCCGCTGTGCTTCAGGAGCCCCCACCAAGTCATTGCCATCCAAGTTATTTGTACCTGAAGTTGGGTGATGAGTATTGTAAGTACCTTGATTAGGGTTACGTGTACTGCATCAGGGTAGTATTCAATTCAGCCTACTTGCTAAGTCCCCGGATCCTGCAGGATCCAATGAATGGCCCCAGTGAATTATTATCTCTGAGCCAAGCTTGCTCCAGAAACTCAAGCGCCAACAGCCGTCGTCTTCATAGACTTCGTCGTTCCCGTACCGAGCATATGTCAGTGCCTCGCACTCTGGAGCGCTCATCATGGTATTAACTCCGCTAAATTACATTCCCAACTTCTCTGACAAGCTGCGACTCATGGTGGACCTCGTCTAGATGCTTAAACCCGAAGTTACACACCGTGCAGAAAGCCTAAACTCAATACCAAAACCCTGCCTGCAGCTCCAAACCCATAGCCAGAAGCGATAAACCCAGGCCTTAATCCCCAAATCCTGAAGTCATAATCCCGAACCTGCAGGACTGATCCAGGCCGTGGCCGTGGGCACACTCCAGGCTCAGGGTTACGGAGCTGAAGATGACAATAATTAGAATAGGGTTCCGTTAAAGGGTTCCTTTAATTGATACTATAAGAGCTACCATAAGGGCATAGTATAGGGGCCTGAATAATGACAATCTTCTTTCAAGGACTTGACAAGGTGTTGACAAGCAGACTCCCTCGCTTAACAAGCTGGTGTTCCCCAGTACAGGCTGAGCGATCCATGTAGCGCTTCCCCACGGGGTCCGAAGTGCCAACGTAGTTGAATGTAGGGTTTCTATATTCGGAGTTACTACTATCATTTGGCAAAGTCTCCGCCGTAGGGGTACCTAGAACCCCTTTGGGTCCTGCTGTGTCCGAGCATGCCTGTAGTTGTATGGTTTACCTGCACTGATCCTAGTAGTAGAGTAGGTAACCTTTCACCTTTTCTGGGTAGAAAAGTCACTGTATAATCCCTAAAAAACCCGAAAGGTTAACCTTAAGTTCCCCATGATGCCCTGAACCCTAAACCCTAAACCCTAATCCCTAAAAAACCAGAAAGGTTAACCTTAAGTTCCCCATGATGCCCGACAAGTACGTGATAGCGCACGGTAGCGCTGCATCCTCGGCTCCCACCCCGAAGAGCCCGCAGACCAAGACCCTGTTCACGTTCCCCAACCTGAATTCCCAAACCCTTAGCCGGTTTAGGGTTCAGGGTCCTTAAGGTAAAAGCCAGAAAGTTGGAATATGATTATCCCAACCCTTCTATGGTAAATTATAGGGTATCCTACCCTGAAACCATATTCCAACTTTCTGGAGTTCCCTTTAGCCGCGCCAGCATCAGCGATGACCCATGACCGTGAGCCCCTAAAGGCCGAATGTTTTAACGGCAGGTGCACCTAGACCTACTCACACCCGACTACTATACGTGCCTTCAACATTACCTATACTATGTTTGGGGGTTCCAAAACACTTTTCCAATTATGTAGGCCCCTACTTTTATCGCCAAACAGGCCGGCCAAGATGGAACCTATTGGTCACCCAGACACCTGGGCTGAAAACTTGAGTTGGGTCTCAGGGTTTGGGTTGTCTGCAGGGTTTGCGGCTAAACTCGAAATTTACGGGGACTTAGAACAGTTTTCATTTTTTGGTTATTATAATCCGTAAGAAACAACCAAAATTACAATTTTTGCCAGGGTTCTAAGTTCAGTATAGGAAACCCAAAGCCCCGAAGCTGTTCGGCACTTGGGCTGATTTAGACGTGCAGATTGCAAGCACCATCAGCCCATCACACGCTCACTGTTGCTTGCATTGGCAGCGTTAGCTTTTGGAAAGGCTCTTGGTCCTAAAATCGGATGGATCCAGCATCTGAAAACATCTAAGAACAAAGCTCTAAACCCTACATCCTACACCCTAAACCCAGAACAAAGGCACCGATTTTCCTCCTAAACCCTAAACCCTTAAACCCTTAAACCCTCAAACCCTTAAGCCCTTAAACCCTTAAACCCTTAAACCCTTAAACCCTTAAACCCTTAAACCTTATGCCCTTAAACCCTTAAACCCTTAAACCCTTAAACCCTTAAACCCTTAAACCCTTAAACCCTTAAACCCTAAACCCCTAAACCCTTAAACCCTCAAACCCTTAAACCCTTAAACCCTCAAACCCTTAAGCCCTAAACCCTTAAACCCTCAAACCCTTAAACCCTTAAGCCCTTAAACCCTTAAACCCTTAAACCCTTAAACCCTCAAACCCTTAAACCCTTAAACCCTTAAACCCTTAACCCTACATCCTAAACCCAGAACAAAGGCACCGATTTTCCTCCTAAGCCCTAAACCCTAAACCCCTAAACCCCTAAACCCTTAAACCCTTAACCTTAAACCTTATGCCCTTAAGCCCTTAAGCCCTTAAACCCTAAACCCTTAAACCCTTAAGCCCTTAAACCCTTAAACCCTCAAACCCCTAAACCCTAAACCCCTAAACCCTTAAACCCTTAAACCCTCAAACCCCTAAACCCTAAACCCCTAAACCCTTAAACCCTTAAACCCTCAAACCCCTAAACCCTTAAACCCCTAAACCCCTAAACCCCTAAACCCCTAAATCCTTAAACCCTTAAACCCCTAAACCCCTAAACCCCTAAATCCTTAAACCCTTAAACCCCTAAACCCCTAAACCCCTAAACCCCTAAATCCTTAAACCCCGATTCCAGTATCCGAGCGGAGCCCTGAGCTCTAAAATTTCCCAGCACCCTAAACTTACCTTTGGTTAGTAGGGAAAATTTCCCACCCTAGTAGGGAATGCTAGGGTTCCCTTTAAGGGGGTCTATAAGGGTTACTATAAGGGATCTAAACTTACCTTTGGTTAGTAGGGAGTGGAGGAATGGTAGCTATATAGTAGCTATATAGTAGCTATATGGTCGCAATATGGTCGTAATATGCTAGTAATAGTAGTTAGGGAATGGAAGAATGGTAGTAATACGGTTGATGATATAAATCCTGCATTACCCATAATAAGAAATAGACCATAATTCCCGTTGCTTGGGGTCTCTAAGGTAATGCAGGATTATATCATCAACCGTAGTAGTTATAATTGTACCCCATTCCTCCATTCCCTACTAACCAAAGGTAAGGAAATGGCCCGCTGAACCATGCCCTCCGACTTCAACCTACCCTCTAGTAGAGCCCTTATGGTCCTTAATCGTGGGTATCTTGGGTCCTTTATTTGAGCCCTTCTGGTCATTAATAGTGGGTATTTAGCTTTATGATAGAGGGTTGTCGGGGGGTGCTGGAGACTGGGGTTTATGATTTTGGGTTCACCCTTGAATCCGAGCATGGGCGTACCCCTTGTACCACAATCTAGATATCAAGGCACTTATGTTATGCCGCATTATGCCTTTTATGAGAGCCCTCTTAAATGCCAATGCGGCCTCAGTCTAGCTAGCAAGGCCTTGTAATGAAGCAACAAAGCACTAAACCTTGAAACACTCTCCTAAACCTTTCCCACGCCATACTCACAAGACCTCTGTCTGCCATTACATAAGGCCTGTATGTGAAGTAAAAGGGGTCACACCTAAACCCTGAGCCTGCAACCCTCTTACAGCGACAAACAACCCTAAACCATAAGCCCTGAACCCCAAACCAGCCTTAGCCTTGAAACAATACAGCTTAAATCATAATATGAACCCCCTTGTAATTTAAGGTATATTCCTTAATTCAGGGGTATTGGGCTCTCAACCCTAAACCCTAAACCCTAAACCCTAAACCCTAAACCCTAAACCCTAAACCCTAAACCCTAAACCGTGGTACAGCCACAGACAAGACAGCTTCTCTGTCCGAGGCCATGAGGCGCCCAGCAGGCGACAGATTGACGTGCGAGCGCCGCTGTGAAGAAACCGAGAAACACCGTTTGTTGCTTCAAACGGCCTCAGTTTTACCTTTGGTTAGTAGGGAATGGAAGAATATGAATGGTAGAGTAGTTCTAAATGTACCCCATTCTTCCATTCGCTACTAACCAACGGTAAGTTCAAACGGCCTCTGTGGGTGTGTAGGGTCTTAGGGTCTTTGGTTCCTAGGGCTTTACGGGATTGGTGGTTTTTGAGTGGCTATGGCTTATGCGTGTTGACTTTGAAGATTCAGGGCTTCAAGGTTTACCCAGAGGCCCCAAAGTAGTTCCTTTTTGGGACTACCTTTTGGGATTCTACATATGAACCCCAAAAAGGAGCTACTTTGGGGTTTAGGTCCTAGGGCCCTCGGGTCGCAGGGTTTTCAGCTTGATTGCGGAGGACTTCGACCCCTGGCTGCGCAATTCGTCTTCCGTATGCCTATAGACCTATAAGACGGCTCAACATCGGGATGGAGTTTATAGGCTTTATCTCTTCGCGCTCCCAAATATGATTGCGTGTAGAAGCCCCAAGTACATTCTGAGTATGTACGCAGAGAGCCCAATACTCCTTAATTAAGGAAATATAAATTAAATCATAATATGAACCCTCTTATAATTTAAGGTCGATTCCTTAATTAAGGGATATTGGAGTCTCTGGGTAGGCCCCCATGTGGGGCTCTTGTGGCAAGAGGGCTCCCGGCTAAGGGCCATGCGCACAGATCAGACCGTGGGGCCGTCCCGGCGTTTAGAGTTTAGAGTTCCACCACTGCCCAAGAACCAAACCTTCCAAAATCCTTTAATTAAGGAATAATCCCGTAAATTATAGACATGGACATTGACATTCAAGGCACATTCTGGCCATGTGCAAAAACATGGGCCCGTATTATGTTGTTTTCTGAAATTATAATAGGATCCCGAATATGATTTAAGGGATATTCCTTAATTAAGGGATTTTGGTAGGTCTGGGTAACCCCTAAGCGCCCAAAGGACTCTGTAATTAGGTTCTTGGGTTTTTAGGATAGTAGTTCTGTAGGTTACTATTTGGGGAGAGTATATGATCATTAGGTACTTGGACCCTTAGGGACCAGGATCAACGGAACACGGAAGATACCTTGAGGAAAGGATCAGGTCATGCCCTCTGTGGCTCCAGGTTACATGGGAGTTTCCGAAAATTGGGGGTACCTTTTTGGGGGGTCCTTTAAAATGAGGATCCTAATATTTGGGGTACTACATTAGGGTCCCCTATTTTCGGAAAGTCCCACATCCTTGAACGCAGCGTGATCGGTCTGAGGCCTAGGTTCTTCGGGCTGTTCGGTGCTTCTGTTGATGATATAAATCTTGCGCTACCTTAAGGACCCTAAACTATGGAAATCGTGGTATATTCCGTATTATGGGTAATGCAGGATTTATATCATCAACCGTTCCGGGCATCGCATGTAAGACTAGAGCAGGTCTACACATGCACTTACTGGCACATGCCATGCCAGAGAATCAGCCAAACCCTGGATTCCACCGGCAAAGCCCATCGCCCCAAGAACTGCAACCGAAAAAGCCATAAACCCTAAACCCTAAACCCTAGTTTTGAGAATCCTGGGTTCTAAACACTGTCGGTGACGTCTGAGAGGGCCTTTTGACTTAGTGCATGCTCCATCTGGAGCAAGCTCGTACTCTGCTGGAAAAGGGGCTACTGCACTTAAAGAAAAAAACACTAGCCCTTGAATCGAGGCCCTTGTCGGTGGCCTGGTCCCGGACCTCCGGAGCACCGCAGCAAGAGCCAAGGTGATCGAATTACGTTTATGGTTTAGTGTAGGAGCCTTCAAATTACTAATAATCAGATTCTTGGGGGGTTTCTCTGTGAAATTCTGGTTCTAGTACAATATATCCCCCAAACTGTGTTCTAACTATTAAGGCCCCTACATTATGATCTAGGCTGCTGGGTTGGGCCTTATTAAGGCGAGGGTGACATTAAGATCTCCGCTTTGGAGTGCATGGGCCTATATGGGAGTTTCCGAAAATTAGAGTACCTTGTTTTGGGGTCCTTATAAGTACTATATTGGGTTCCCCTATTTTGGGAAACTCCCATGTGCAACCCTGGCCCTAGACCTGAAACCAAGAAGTAGCTTAAGCCTAGATCCCCATCTAACATGCTTGGGCCACCATAGTAAGCGTCATTTCTGCGCCGCAGCGCAATTTAGGGGGCTGCATCAGTAGTGCTGGGTTTTGAGGTTTCCTCCGGCATTGTGTATTATGAAACTATTGAGGCTTCTTTTTCACGTCCCCGTGTGGCTGTCAACTCAAGCCACCTCCTGCAAAAAGCAAAGGCCACAACTCACGGCTTCAATCCCCAAACTCCTCAAGCCCATAGTACCCTAAACGCCAAACACCGTGGAAACGAAATCGCTCTGAGTCACACGCCTCTCCAAACTCAACTCCAGGCACTACACCCTAAGGCCGTTGAATATGGCGCAAGAATCGAAGTCTGCTGGCGGATCCAACGTTACCCTTCACTGGGGATGGTCGTTCGCGTCAGGTTTACGATTCAGGGCTTACCCTAACCCTAAAATCCGTCACGCCTCAACCCTAATTAAACCTAGCGTTCAGGCTTTAAGAAGCATCCCTGTTCCTAGAGAGCCCACTACCCATTAATGAAAGAATATATAGCTTAAATCATAATCTGAATCTCCTTATAGTTTAACGTGTATATCCTTAATAAAGGGGTATTGGGCTCTCTGGGTTCGAAGCCCAGAGCAGCCCCTTCCGCTTGTTGCTCTGTGGGGCGTTGCTTTGCGGGGCTTGGCAAATATCCGAAACCCTCAAGCCCTGAACCCTACTCCCTGTTTTGGGGTACCTAGTTTTCTGCAGAAGAGGTCCCAACTATTAAACCAGTGATATACCTGTTTACCAAGGGTATAGGGGTAAGGTGTTATCCTCTAGGTAGCCCTTCTAGTCCTGCATCGTCGTAAAGGAAGCGGGGCAGGATCCCACACCTAAACCCTAAACCCTAAACCCGAAGGCCTAAACCCTAAACATATATACCTGCCAATAAAGAGGGATCCTCAGTCAGGGGGCCGGGAGCGTACGGGATGGACGCAGGCCAAGTCCGGAGCTCATCGTGTCCCGCGATCAGGCTTGCACCGGTGATGTGGGGCTTGAGTAACATAGGGGCCTTAATAGCAGGAATCGGGTTTTGGGGCCCATTATACCATAGTTACAATTAACAAGGAGCCCCCGCAACATAGGGGCCTTACTAGAAAGAATCGGGTTTTGGGGCCCATTATACTATAGTTTTATTATAGTTATAAGGAACCCCGGCAATAGCATAGATAACTGCTTTGGGCCCCTACATGAGGGGCCCGATGATTAGGGTTCACGTTTCGGTTGTAGGCTCAAGGCGCTCCCGGTTCAATTGGGTTCAGCCCAGAGAGCCAAATACCCCTTAATCTCAAATTAGAAGGGGTTCCATGTTATGATTTAAGCCATATAGATTGCTTAATTAAGGAGTATTGGGCTCTCTGGGAGGTTCGAGGTTTCGGTTTAGCGTTGCGGCTTTGGATTTGAAGGGTCTGTTGACTGCTAGGGCTCGGGTATCCTCAGCGCAAACCCCGGTGCACTAGGTCCTGAATAGCCTCAATCCACAAGAGGGCTTATTTCCATGCGCATAAGGCGAGCAAAGGTTAGCCTTTGTTCTCATGTCAGTGGCAAGTATATGTCGAGACTCCAGCGGTCAAGCTAAGCATTGCCTTAGGCATGTCTGCGGCGATCCTGCACCTAATTGGTGTGCGGCTTCAGGTTTCTGGCTCGGCTCACAGGGTTTTTGGATTGTTAGGGCCAGAGGTTTTAGTTTCTACGGTTCAAGGCACTCGTCTTCGGGCGAGGTTTGTGGCTTGCTGGTGACACCGCGCATCTCTCTCAGCGCGTGTCAGCTGTGATCGATACAAAAAGGAGCCCCCCAAATAGTATAGGTAATCCACGCCTCTCCCTGGAAGGACATCTTCCAGCTCAGTGCGGCTTTCCCTGGGAAGCGATGTGGCCTGGTCTGCTTCGCTACCGGACCCCCGTGCCTGGGACAGCGTTGAGGGTTGCGGAGTATACCCTGAACCCTAAGCCCTATAAACCCTCGACCCTATGGTTTTTTGGGTTTGCGCGTCGAAGGGTACACGACCCGCAGTATCGAATATGAGTGGTCCCAGGATTGGGATTTACTCAGTTTGAGTGCAGTCTAGGATCCCCAAAAGATGGGGAGTGGCTTGTCCGGTAAAGCCCGCAATGAGTTTTGGTCGCTTTTTACCCACTCTCTCCATTGGCCTCGCGATCCTTTGCAATCCTGTTCGAGGGCCGAGGCGTGTAGCCGAATTTCCGAAGCTGCCAGGGAAACACACAGTTCCCAGAGACTCCAATGTCCCTTAATTTGGGAATATGCCTTACATCAGATTAAGGATCCTACTATAATGTATGGTATATTCCGTAATTAAGGGATATTGGAGTCTCTGGGTTCCTCCCATGACGCAGTGACAGATGCCAAGGGCTTGGTCCTAAGTTTACTTTCAAGGGCTGCAACTCTCGGGAAATGCTCAGACACCAACTGGGAGTTTCCCCAAAATGGGGCACCCTAATATAGTATGCTAAATAGTAGGATCCTTAATATAAGAACCCCAAAAGAAGGTACCCCGTTATTTTGGGAGACTCCCAACTCATTCTGCGCAACGGAGGAGAGCGCCGTCAGGAGGCTGAGACTCCACCTAACTGGGAGTTTCCGAAAATAGGGGACCCTAGTATAGTACCCTAAATAGTAGGATCCTTATTATAGGGAACCCAAAACAAGGTACCCTAATTTTCGGAAGCTCCCAACTGGCCGAAGTCCAGAGTTTTGGTGTGTCGCATTCAAATTCCAATTACGACGTCGACTGAAACACGGTGCCGGACGATTACGGACAGAAACAAATCCCGGAACCTGCGGATCACCACCCCAAGAGACATGGACCTACGGAAGAACCCTGACAACAGACCATACTTCGCAGTGAAGTCAGCACAGAGAACTAACGGTTGATGATACAAAACCTGCATGACCCATTATAACGAATATGCCATCATTCCCGTAGTTTCGGGTCCTTAAGGCATTGCAGGATTTATACCATCAGCAGTAATCACTTAACAAGATCCCAGTCTGGCTTGCCGGGGGACGCGGCTGCATGCATCCGCGTATATGGTAAATAGAACCTGGGGTGCAAAATCTGCAAGGCTGTCATGCTCTTCATTTCCGACGGAAGAACCCAATACTGTGTACCACGCTACTTAGGGCATTGCAGCTACTGAAATAGCCAACTACTACTCAACCAGAGCTCTGCCTTAGACTCCAGCCTTCATCTGCAGGGTTTCATAGAGTCTTTTGAGAATTTTAGGTTAGAAGGGGCCCCCACCCTGTAATAGTGACTATAAGGATTATATTAGGGCCCTATTATATTCCTATTATACCACTATTACAGGGTAGGGTGGGGGCAGCTTCTAAAGTTTAGGTGTCTAAGTTGACCGCACACCCTCGACCCGAGCCTGGCTCGGGCGGTTGTCAAAATGACGGGCCCCTGCTTGGGCCCCTATTATACGACGGCACCTAATATTTAGGGTACCCAAAAAGGGACCCTAATCTTGACAACTACCCACATGGTAGTATATTTTATTGTATTCTACTATACTATATCATGTTGTATTATATTATATGATACTATACTGTATATTACAAGCCCGAACATCAGATAAGCTGTATAGAAGCCCTCAGCAGAAGCTTAAACCAAAACCCAGGTCTTTTCGAGACTTGCGGGAATCGCAGCTTTTCTTCAGGACTCTGACAGCTTGGGTTGCGATCCTTCGAATTCAGGGCTTCTGGGCTTTAGGAATTGCAGCAGGGCACGCAGGCTCAGCTTACAGTTGAAGGTATGGGCTCATACTCTAAAGCCCCAAACCTCAACACCTAAAGGGCCTGACGTGTACCCTCAAGATGCCCGATGGCCCAACATATCAACCTATTCTCAGCCGGAGGCCAGGTGTACATAAGCGCTAAAGCCCCGTAAGCCCGTGTTTAGGGTTGAGGGGTGGAGGGTTTAGGGCCGAGGGTTCATGGGTTTTTAGGCCTGGCCCTACATGAGCAGGGGCGACCCAGAGACTCCAATATCCCTTAATTAAGGAATATACCATAAATCTTATAAGGGATCCTACCATAATTTAAGGAATATTCCTTAATTACGGTATATTGGAGTCTCTGGCCCTGGAACCTGGGTGCTTCCCAAAGCCAACCGACCCTGTGCATCCTAAACCTTGGCACGGGCAGATTTTCAATTTTGATTCTATGTAAACCCAACCCTGTCCCCTTCTTTGTACCTAGAATGCCAGTTACCAGCAGCGCTTAACATCCAGCTACCATACTCGAAACCCTAAACCCTAAATTGTCCCTGCCCAGCCAGGACGACATACCTGTATGCAGTGGAGGAAATGCCCCGACAGATGCACCGGGAGGTTTCGCCCCTCATTGCTGCCTAGCCGCTGAGAGTGTAACTTGTTGTATGTATGTATACATATGTCTATGCACATACGCACCACACGTGTTTCGACGGCTGTGTGTGCATAATATACATATATATATATATATATAGAGATATATACACATATCTCACATATTTCTTTCTATGTAATTTGCTCGCCCCGTCGGTCAACCAGTTTACTCTGTGGATGTATGCGAGGGCATGCAGCATCGAGAGTTCCGCCAAGGTAAGACAAAATCTCGAGTTCGCCCATAGAGTCCTGCTGTCGCTTACGCATTGTTCATTACTGAATTTGGCCGTGATGAATTTGTAGGCACACTCGGGAAACCGTCAATGTCGTGATGTTCGCTGGGCCTGTTGAGTGATGTTTTGTTGGCTGAGGTAAGGCTGCATACAGTTAAAAAGATGGACATGATCCATTCGGGCATGGCCTCGTGAAGTTCGGTACCAAGAGTGTGAGTCAACTTGGGGTACTTCAAACATCAGCAAGTTCACTGGTACTCACAGAGGTTATGCAAAGGCTCTCATATGGCGAAGGCTCCGTGGTAGATCATGCGTGTCACATATCACGAAGCTGTGTCTATTCTGTACTGGTATCTGCAGTGCATCTATATCTATTTCTTAATGTATATCTACATCTGTATCTATATCGGTATCTATATCTGTATCTGCATGTATATGTCTTTTCTCTCTATTCTGTATCTCTCTCTTTCTGTTTCCATTCTCTCTCTCTCTCTCTCTCTCTCTCTCTTTCTGTCTCTGAATAGTCTTAATATGTGCGTATGTGGTTCCCGATTGGCCTACACACTGTTTGTTTGTTGTTTGCTTGTTTATTTGTGTGTTTGTTTGTTTGCATGTGTGTTCGTTTGTTTGGATGTGTGTGTGTGTGTGTGTGTGTGAGGGTGTGTTATGCGTGTGTGCGTGTCTGTGAGCCGATAAGGGCAGGCGATACCGCATATATATATATATATATATAGAATAATAGAATATAGAGATAGATATATGTAAGCAGGTATGTATGTATCTATGTACGCATGTAAGTATCCCGAGTATGCTTGTAGAGAGAGAGAGAGAGAGAGAGAGAGAGAGAGAGAGAGAGAGAGAGAGAGAGAGAGAGAGAGCCGGAGGGAGAGCCGGAGGGAGACAGTATACAAACGAGCCAAACATGCATTAAGACGTGCGTATATATATACACACACAAAGAGAGCTAAGCCCATGGGTCCCGAAACCTGGTGAAGCGTTCTTGTGTGGTGGAGGTGCAAGATGTTCTCGGCCAGGGCTCGCTTATCTACACAGCAGCTTGCTCCTGTTTCATTTTGCGGTTTCGTTGCCGAAGCCGAACAGACTTAGCATTTGCTATTCCCCCCCAAGGCACTTTGTGCTTGATTTGCACAAGCCACACGGGAGGCCCCTAAACCCTAATCCCCCCGGATATGAATTCTAGAAAGTGACTCGACGGGAAGTTCAGAGGGAGCTTGGTGGGTTGAGGGCTGCCGACGCGTTGAGGATTCATATCTTTTTGTGCCAGCTATGAGCATACACATGTGTCTGTTTACGTCAGTTTAGTAGATACATGCGCGGATTTTCTTATCACCTGATGTACGACATAATTAGGACCGCGCCCAAACGTCTCAGAAGCTCCAAGTCACAACATACCGTTGTTTTGAATCACCCCGTCCCCCCCTCACTTTTCTTGGCTAGATGGACCCCCAACCCCTTAACCACAGACGCCCAGCTCGCTAAAGTCCCGACGCCCGGCACCTTCGCGTTCGAAGGCCCCGGTGACGGTTCTCAGGGGCGAGCTCCAGGTCCGTCCATTTCTTTTCATTTTTGAGGTTTTGTAGGTAGCGCGATAGCGAGTTTTCAGTCTCTATTCTCAGAACCCAAGCCCCTAATCCAAAACCTAAACATACCTAAACCTACGCCTACCAATCAAATATCCTGGCGCAGGAGGAACAGGTCTCGATGCAAGGAACATATCTGGCCTTTCTTCTTTTGAGCCGCCAGGTCAGGTTATTTGTTATAATGTATTTGGCCGTAATATCACGGTACAGACTGCAATAATTAGATTAGAGTATACAGTAGAATATATTGTCTACAGTGGCTGATTCATCCCTTCCTACTGCTCCCAACCCTGGGGGCCCTTGAACAGAGGAGAGGCCTAAACCCAAGCCTGCTGAAAGCCCCGACAGCCTTGAAGCCCGAAGCTCGATCCCAAAGCATTGAAGCCCTGGACCCTAAAACCCTGAACCCCCAACCCTACACCCTGAACCCTAACCTTAAAGCCCAAACTCTGCACAAAAGAGGCAGGAGCACCGTGGCTCGCGGAGCCTGTTGAGATCGAGGCCGCTGGTCTTGTTGCCTTGGGCTGTTTTGTTGTTTGGTCGGGGGGGGGGTGGGGGTGGGGGGGTGGGGGGGGGGTTAGGGTTTAGGGGGCCAGGGAGGTGAAGTTAGACGTTGTAGCGTATCATCCAATCTAGGCCTTGTGTCGTCGCAGGCCACGCTGCAGGACTTCCGGCGCACATCGTAGCAAGGAAGTCGTTTTCGACGAGCCCAAGCTCTCAATCCGCGCTGGATGCGAAGATGTTACTATACATCAACTTTAAGTTTGGGTGGTTAGGGTTCAGAGAGATGAGATCAGGCCCGAAGCAGTCGAGAATCCGGCCAAGGATTGCGTCAACTTCTGCACCACCAGAGCTTCCCGAAACCCCAAACCCGGAACCGTTAAACCCAAATCAGAACCTTAAACTGTAAACCCTAAGCTCCCTGTGGTACAAACTCCCTAGAGATCCCGTTCAAGCCCAAAAGGTGCTGACGGCTGGAATCCAGCGTACTCCGCAGGGAGATGTGCACGAGCTTCTTGACAGTCAAGGGGTTTGGCATGTTGGTGGGTAGTTCGTATGTTTCGTGTTTTTTTGAGATTACTATCGCTATTGAATAATTGCTTCTACGAGATGGCGATGACGGTTATGGCTTCAATTAGGAAGTGATATGTTGCGGTTGGTTGTCTCGCATCATTTGTGTTACTGTTCTTGTGGTGTTTATTCTGATTATTCTTGTTGAAACCATGAGCCGTCGGGATGTTGCTGATTGTGATATCCGAGATGAGCTCAGCCGAGCGCTCCAGGCCTTGCAGAGCCCCCGACCCTCTTCCTGAGGCAGTATGCGCGGCTGACGGAGAAAGCCGACGCCGCTTGGAAATGTTGTGCAAGGGGCATGAAAGCCGTGCCACGCCGGAGCGTCCAGGTTTGTGTGAGGATGTTATCATGGTTACTCTTTCTACAATTGTTCGGTAGCAGTATCGCCATCTTTTCTCACAAACCTACTTGCACCACCAAGATCATGGTCAGCATCATAAGCATGATTCTGAGTCTCAACGCCCCAAACCATAAAGGGTCAATGCCAAGGCTGCAACAACTTTCGGCCAGGAGACCCCCTTAGGTTCAGCTCGACATGTTTGTTCCTTTCGTTTGTGCTTATGAAAGGCTTTTATAAGAGTGGCTTGTAATTGTAGGATGTAAAATAGGTCCATCTTGGCCCCAAAGCCGAAACCCCAGATTCTGAACCCTTCGACTTCGTTGCAAGGTTGCCAAAATGCTCGACGATCTCTTCGTATGTGCCCTCGGCATGCATGTGTTTGCTCCATGGTAAGGTTTCTGTAGTTCCGACGTGATCTATAGTTCAAACGGCATGAAACATGATGTAGTCGCTGATAGTCCCTCCCTACTGTACTTTCAACTGATAGTATACCCAAAACCCTATCCTGATATTTGAGGCCCCGGCTATATCACTGTTTATAGTAACCCTTGTGAAAGACTTTTTAAAGGAGACTTTCTCTCATCCTTTCACAGCCCTGTATTCTAGACCCCTTTAAGAAACTCGTAAAGGAGCTCTCTTCTGGTCAAGGCCTCTGTATCATGCTTTATTGTCTCGGCGGTTTAGAGGGGGCACTAATGTGAGGGTTTTGGGGTTTGGGATGTTTTCGAGGAGTTTAGGTTCTTCGGATTTTTGGGTGGGGCTTGAGGATCTTGCTACTGCCATCCCTCGTCTCGCTGTGCATTCCTCTTGATGCATCTGAGCGAGCAGAAGCCGGAACCTTCATCTTCTGCGCTGAGCAACAAACCCGCAACCCCTAAGTCCTAAAGCCCTAAGCCCTAAAGCCTTAAACCCTAAAACCCTAAAGCCCTAAAGCCCTAAAAGCCCTAAACCCCTAAGTCTCTAAAGCCCTAAAGCCTAAGCCCTAAGCCCTAAATCCGCAACCCCTAAGTCTCTAAAGCCTCTAAACCCCAAGGCTTATCAGCCGAAGCCTCAAACTTCCGGGCCCCGAAGCTTTCGGATCTGGGTTCGGGGTTCAGGGTTTAGGGCAGTTTAGTGTTTAGGGGTTCCGGGTTCAATAAGCGTTGTTTAGGGTTGAGGGGTTCGGGGTTTAGGTTCAGGGTTCAGGGTTTACAGTTTAGGGTTTAGGGGGTTCTCAAACTCCCCAGAGACTCCAATGTCCCTTAATCACGGAATATTCCTCAAATTATGGTAGGATCCCCTATATGATTTAAGGTATATTCCTTAACTAAGGGATATTGGAGTCTCTGGGTCTGATGAGGTGCCGCAGAGAAGGGGATCGAGGTCCTTATCCTCCCCCCGCCGCGAGGAAGCATCGAAGAGTCATTAAATTCCTACACCCTACCTTAACCCTGAAGAACCTACCTTTTTAAGGACTCAAATCAGGAAATCATAATAGATATAATAGGGAACCCGAAAAAGGTAGGTTGTCCAGGGCTAATATAAGGTGAACCCTAAACCAAGTTTGAGGGCTTTACGGTTTCCGGGTTCCGCGGGAAAACTCATCAAGCTATCAAGTAGATTAGACGGATTCTGTGTGCAGCAGCCAAGGCATGGTTTCGGGATTTGATATTGATTGTGTTTTATTGGGGTTTAGGGTTTAGAGTTTAGGGTTTAGGGTTTAGGGTTTAGGGGGGGTTTGGGATCATGGGCAGTTTCTTCGTTTCTCGCAAGGCATTGCTGGTTACTGCTGTCCAATTTCGTGATGTTCGGGCTTTGGGCCACCAAGTGCTTCGGGGGCATCAGGGTTTTGGTGACACTTTCCATATGAGAGTATCTTTGAGGCCTTTTTTGGGTTTAAGGATTCTCAGGCTTTGGGTTTTTGTGTGCTCTGAGGCAAGGGCAGAGTATGTCCCAAACCGAAGGATAACAGAAAAAATGTAGTTAAGCGTTTCTTTTTGGATTTTGCAGGTGCTGAAGGAGGTTACATGGATTTACATAGCATTCTGGAGCGATCTATGCCCGGTTCTTCTCTTGTGCCCGTTTTTGTTTTGGGAGTCTGCTTGTCAAACATGAGCAAGGGGAGAAGGGTAATGGATATCGAAGGGATGTTAAGGAAGCTACTATCGTTAGCCTGTAGTGACCATGCCGGCCGTGTGGCAGGCGTAGCAGTATCGATGAGAGAACGTCGACCGCTGTATCATGTTAAGCTTTGCCACAGGGTGCTACTGTTGATGATATAAATCCTGCATTACCTTAAGGACCCTAAACTATGGGAGTTATGGGTATATTCCTTATTTTGGGTAATGCAGGATTTATATCATCAACCGTACCGAAACGAAGCCAAGGTTCGTAGGCGGCAGCTGTGGATGTGGCGTGGCTGCAAAAAGCGCCTTTCTAAGGGCTTGGCATACTCGAAGTCCGAAGTATGTCATCCTAGCTACACCCTTGCCTGTGCTGGTAAACCTAAACCCTCAACATCCCCAAATCCTAAACCCTCAAGATCCCTAGATGTACTAAACCTTACCCATAGGCCCCAAAGTAGTTCCTTTTTGGGATTGCCCTATAGGATTCTATATATGAACCCCAAAAAGGAACTACTACTGGGCCTTGGGGTAAACACAGGCTTCCATCCTCCAGCCGATGCCGGCGAAGTGCTTCGCAAGGCTGCGCTCTCTTCTTCGATGGAGACGGCACCTGGGCTTCGACATGGCGTTTAGAGTTCAGGGTTTAGGGTTCAGGGTTTAAGGTCTAGGGTTTAGGGTTCAGGGTTTAGGGTTTAGGGTTCAGGGTTTCCCTACACCCCACGCCGAAACTTTGGAAGCTCTCAAACCCTCAGACCTGTACGGCAAATCTGCTCCGAGACGCCGAGTTTATACCAAAATCCAGCAAGCTTCGCTCAGGTTGTCGTGGCTCCTATGCTGGTCGGGGTACTGACTGGCTGGGCCTCCTTCAGTGACGCGGCGCGGGGTGGGGGGGGGGGGGGGGGTGGGTGGACAATTGGGAGCTTGTTCACTAAAGTTTATCACCTTTGACATTGCAAAGTGTTCAGTACCAACTATGAAGCCTCCGAATATGATGAGTATGATGATTAGTGAACTGTCACGGGCATCCATGCTCGATTCTTGGGAGATGTTTTGACATCTAAGGTCTATGCAAAAACAGCTTCTCGCTGAAGGTCTCCACAGTAGGGCTTCCGTTGGCAGTCACTATCTTGGAGCCCATTTCAAGGCCGTTACGGTTGCCCATGAAGTACTAGGTAGGCCCTAGGGACATTTCATATTTGCTATTATTGGGCTTAAGAGGATCTTACCGACTAGTATTTTCAAAGGCTTTAAACTAGAGTAATCCCTCCAAATCCCAAGCCTAATGCTAGCAACGCCCCGCCCTCCGCCCGATCTCGACTACCGCATGCAGGTCCTCAAGGGGAGGCCACCTATTCCTCGACAGCCGCCGATTCCACTGCATCTGCCACTCGGGCGCAGGATCTGAAAGAGGGTACGGGGTACGGGCTGCTCCGACTGTAGGTTTCGGAATCGGGGCAGCTTATATAGGGGAGTTTCCGAAAATAAGGGGGTACCTTATTTTGGGGTCCTTAGAATAAGGATCTTATTTAGGGTACTATACTAGGGTCCCCTGTTTTCGGAAACTCCCATAGGGCCTATAATACCCCAAAAAGCTCAAAGGTTACCCACTCTACAGTTAAGAGCCTTGTCGCAATCGCCGGCTTGCTTCTTGCAAGAGGGCGCAAGGCTTAGCTTGAAGGTTCCCGCCCAGAGAGCCCAATACTCCTTAACCAGGGAATATAGCCTAAATCATCCTTTGAATCCCCCTATCATTTAAGGTATATTCCTTAATTAAGGGGTTTTGGGCTCTCTGGGCAGATGTCAGATGTCCAAGCTGGCCCGCTTGCCTTCGATTTCCAGGTCGCCCTACTTCGGCTGCTACCTTGGCCTGGAGCTTAGCCTGAAGATTCAGGGAATGCAGAGAGGGAAGGTAATACAGGGGCCGAAAAAAATGACCAATACAATCTGTCTTTTGGGGGGGCGGGGGCGGGGTCCTCGTTATCATTCTAGTATAATACACCAGAACCTTCTTCCAGTTATTTTCATGCCCTGCACGAAACTTCCTAAACCTTATAGTATATGACCCTTATAGCATTATTGGCTCACTTGTAGGCCCCTTTAAAAGGAACCCGGCTTATTCTAGTTATTACGGCCCCTGCAGTAGCAGAGGGGGAGTAAATCAGAGTTAGGGTTTAGGGTTCGAGGGTTCAGGGGTTTAGGGTTTAGGGGTTATGTTTCGGGGTTTAGGGTTTTGGGGGTTTAAGGTTCAGAGTCGAAGCAGCTGTGTCGTGAGTCCGTGGCCTCCTCACGCACAACACTTGTATTGCCACCCGCCTCAATAAGTAATTACCAATGCTATCTACTATAGGGGCCGAAATAAATACCAATGCTATTTCGGGGGGAGGCTTTCTTTCATGATTAGAGTATAATGGGCCCCAAAACGCCACTCTAATCATTCAGGCCCCTACATTACCGCATAGAGTCGGCAGCCCGCTCCACACCAGCTTCACAAGGACCCTGAGGATGATACTTACAAAGGACATGCTCATGCTCATCAGACTCATCGTCTTCAAACTGGTACATAGTTCTTCGAAATACCCGTCGCCACTGCAACTTGAATTAAGTTCTTAAAACCCCTAAAAATCCCATAAGGCTCGAAGGACTGGCCTCAGAAGCCTTGTGGGAAACCCTGAAGCCCTAAAGCCTTAAACAAGCCCTAGACCAGCAGCTCAAACGGTGTAGAAAGAGGCCTTGAACAAAGCCTTAAGCTCTAAACACCCCAAACTGGCCCAAAACCCTGAAGCCTAAAGCAAGAGCCGCCGTCGTTGGCTGAGGCAAGAAGAAACCCGACTTCACGGTGTTTACGCTCGGCAAAGCCGGCCAAGCTAATGCTCTCGCCGCTGCAGCCAAAAGGTCTGCTTCGGCAAATCAGGAGCCAAGTCCTTGAACGCTCTTGAGCTTGTAGGCTTCAATACTTCAAGGAACAAGCGGTTCAGCAAGTAGGCTCCCAGGTTTTTTCAAAGGGCAAGTATAGTAGCTGCACCTTGTTCATTCTTGTCCACCTACGTTTGCCTTATGACAAGTACGGCTCGTGCCATGCGACGCCGAGTCAGCGAAGACGTGCAGAGACTCAGCCTTGTCCTTTTTCATGGTTCCCCCAAAAGAATAAACAGACCGGCTAGTAGACCTTCTTAAATAATTCCTACTAAGGGATATAGGCATAGGGCTCTGTCTATTATTTCTAAAAGGACAAGGGTGCTCAGAGACTTGGCTCTCATGCAAAGCCTTAGACTGCCAGGGGAGGCCTCGACTGTAGGGGCCTGAACAGTCGAAATCCCATTCTGCGGAAATCCGACTCGTAGTTGAAGAGAGTTTAATACTGTTGATGATATAAATCCTGCATTACCTTAAGGACCCGAAACTATGGGAATTTTGGTATATTCCTTATGGGTAATGCAGGATTTATATCATCAACCGTATACGTAGTGTAGTACTATACCCCCCAAGACCCATTCCGAGGGCCCAAACTTACAGCAGGCCAGCCCCAAGGCAGGCGGCGCTTCAAAACATAGGTGCTCCGCAGATAGACAAAATGCTTGGGCAAGGGTTTAGGGGATTAGGGTTTAGGGTTTAGGGCAAGCGACCCTCTTCCGTCGCAGGTCCTTGCAGTCTTGTGTCTTTCAAACACTCCTCAAACTCGAATCCCAAAGACTCTTTCAACCCGAAACCCCAAACTCCGAAAACCCCAAACCCCCGGAAAAACTCCTAAGCAGTAAACCAAATTGATTGTTCAAGTGCTGCGGTCAGGGGCTGAGAATTTGGACGTCTGCGGTTTTGGACCCCTGCGTACACTGTTAGACATCCAGGTTTACCACTGGTGCTAATCCTGACCTCCTGCGCAGTGTAGCGCATGTTTTTCGGGCATTTAGTTATCTCAAGAATCTTCTGGCAATGACGGGGATAGGCAAGGAAACTATCATTTTTGGGTACCCTAGATATTAGGTGCCGTATTACAATAAGGACCCAAAAAGGGACCCTAATTCTTGACAACCCCCCCATATAGTGGGTGTTCCGGGCTACAGGTGCTTGGAGGTTCATGGGTAGTTTATAAGTAGGGTTATAAGTCCCCTAATCTGGGCTATACGTATAGTTACCCTACTTATAAGTACCCATGGCTTTGGGTGTGGGTTTAAGGATTTAGGTGGGGTTTAGGGATTTAGGGTGCAGTTTAGGGTTTTGGGGTTTAGTTAGGGTTTAAGGGGCCGCCACCCCCGATAAAGGACCTTAGCCAAGTGGGGTTTACCGAAAGAGCCCCCCCGCGCAGATCCTCCGCGCGGCGGCAGAACGTGCTCGATCGCCCGGGGCCGACTGAATATGGGAGTTTCCGAAAATAGGGGACCCTTTTTGTTCCTTTACAGGTTACTATTTCCTTTAAAGGGTTACTATAAGGGTGCTATAAGGATTCCTTTAAAAGGCTCTATAAGGGCTTAGAGTTTCCGAAAGTAGGGGACCCTTTAAGGGTTCCTCCAAAGGGTTACTATAAGGGTACTATAAGGACTATAAGGGTTCCTTTAAAGGGCTCTATAAGGGTTTAGAGTTTCCGAAAATAGGGGACCCTTTAAGGGGTCCTTTAAAGGGCTAGTATAAGGGTACTATAAGGGTTCCTTTAAAGGGCTCTGTAAGGGTTTAGAGTTTCCGAAAATAGGGGACCCTAATATGGTACCCTAAATAGTAGGACCCTTATTATAAGGGCCCACCAAAAAATATGGTATCCCTGATTTTCGGAAACCCCCATATAGTTGGGACCTGCTCTGAATGGGCGTCTCCTCTAGGGTTCTTGTGTTGAGATAGTCTAAAAAGATATAGTATGACATATGTCATACCGGCACCTGGCCTTGCCCATCTCCAAGGGTAAATGGAGGGACCCAAAATAAGGACCCTAGGTATATTATATACCCATTATATAGCCCATTATAGGGTAGGGGTCCCCATTAAGGGTCCCTCCTTTTCGCCTTTTCCCATCTGGGGGTTCTCAGGTGGTTCTTGTTTTGGGCTTGGGTCTCTCTTTAGAGATGGGTTGGTTGGCTTGCGTTTTCTTGTGGTTCACGATGCAGGCTGAATTTAAGGCCCCGGAACCGAAGCAAGTAGTTCTTTCCCAATGTTAAGGAAGTCCGAAATGAAATGTCCTGTGTCATGTATTGAAGCTACTGTTGACATGAAGGGTGCTGTTGTTTCTGTCATTGTGTGGTGAAGATTGTACCACGGGTTGTATCTGCACAACAGCAGTCATCACAACGACCCGAAGCCTTTTACAAGAAGTAAACAGCAAAACCAGAAGCCCTCAACCCTAAGCCTTCAGCGCGAAACCCTCAACCCTAAACCCCGACTATAGGGGACCAAACAATTACTGATGCGATGTTGGGGGTTCCTCATTACTATAAGTATGCTAGAACCGCAGTCTAATCATTATGCTCCCCGAGCCCGAAAACCCTAAACCCTTAATCCTAAAACCCCTTAAACCACCAAGCCCTAAACCCTAATACCTGAAACCCTGAAAGCCCCAAACCCTGAAAGCCCCAAGCCCTAAGCCCCCTTTGTGTACCCCTTTAGGCCCCCTAAGACCCAAACCTCTTCGCCCCCCAGGTCCGCCTACACAGCGCTCATCGCCACCAAGGCTCAATCAGAGGCCCGCTCGCTCGCAGTTTCTAAGCCCGTATTGGAAGTAAACACGAGAGCAGCTTCTACATATTATATACACATAGTGTGTGTGGCTGTATATATATATATATATATGTATATATCTATTTAGTCACATATGTATACATATATTTACTTCTTTATTTATCTAACCCACTTTTCGTCTGCTCAAAGCCTTTTTTGACGTCCTGGACACTTGCGACTCGATGACATGCTGGCAGCTGAACGAAGATCTAGAAGTACACCAACGCAGTTGAAGGCTTAAATGCGAGAGACCAATCTAAAAGCAACCATGAGAACCCAAAAGGAAAATCATTAACGCAAAAACATGTAAAACAAGCAGAACAGAAATACTCTCTCCTCTCTCTCTCTCACTCTCTCTCTCTCCTCTCTCTCTCTCTCTATGTATATACCACTTCGTATTCTAAGGGTTCTGCAAGGTCAGCTTTGTGGCTTTGGTGTGTGGGGTTTACAGATTGGGGTTCACCAATGAGATTCATGGCTATAGACTAATAGGGCTTTATGGGTTTGGAGTTTGGGATTCGAAGTCTCCTTGGGGCAGTTCCTAACATAGCAGTCTTTAAAAGACTAAGCAGGGTTCTATGTAAGGGTTCTGCCGGGCTTCTTGGGTGGCAAGTCTATATGAAGCTGTACGGTTTTCACGGGTTTAGGGAATGGTTGAGTGCTTGGGGTTTAGGTGATTATGACGAGCGCAAGCATGATTTCGTAGGTCTCTTAGCCTTGAAGGTTCTATATGGGTGGTTGTCAAAAATAGGGTCCCTTTTTGGGTCTCTCATATAGTACGGCACCTGATATTTAGGGTACCCAAAACGGGACCCTAATTTAGACAATCACCCATATGGGCTGTGCTGCAGCTAGCAGCGCTAGCCCTGATCTCGTTGGCAGCTGCATCTCTGGGGGACTTGCGACTCTCTCCAAGGGTAAAAGGAGGGACCCTTAGTAAGGAGCCTAGGTATATACCCTTAATATAGCTATTATATACCCATTATATAGGCCATTATAGGGTAGGGCTCCCCATTAAGGGTCCCTCCTTTCCCCTTTGACTCTCTCCGGGCATGGAGTTTAAGGTGTAAGTTGAAGGCGACCTCGACTACATCCGGTGTGTTTGGAGCTGTATGTGCGAAGTCGCTGCCCACATTACTTCGTCACTGCCTTGGCATGAGAGTCCCTAAACCCTAAACCCTAGGCCCTACCTATAGTTTCCATTGTATTTCCTTTTTTCGGTTAACCAGTCTTATGGTTAGGATCCTATAATCGAGATTTTGGTCAACCAAAACAAGAAACTACAATGGAGACTTTGGGTAAAGCCTAAGCCACACTCCAAGCCTCGCCGGAGCTCAGATCTCCCACAAGAATCTGCGCAGGCAAGGGCCCCCCAAATCTCTTGAACTCCTAAGCAGAGAGGATCTCGGTGCTACGACCCCAGAATCTCTCCAAAGATTTGTCGAAAACTGCGGGTTATGTAGAAGCCCAAACAATTGCCAATATTGCCCCTTAGGGTTCCTCGTTACAGCTATTTTCTCGTTTAAAGTAGCCCATTAGGACTCCACGGTAGAGGGTCGAGGGCCTTCAGCGTCCAACATAGAACGCATACGAACCCCACTATAGGGCCCTTATGAACCCCGATGAATCCTCAGAGGGCCCGTGTCAATTGTGAACCCATTGGGAGCCCCTTGTCAACCCTTATGAGTCCCAAGATAGCACCAGAATCTAACCATAAAGCCCTAAACCCCTAAACCCTAAACCCCTAAACCCTAAACTCTAAACCCTAAACCCCTAAACCCTAAACCCCCAAACCCCTAAACCCCAGAATCCAAACCCCTAAGCCGCACGCCCTCCTGCTTCAGGCTGGCGGTCAGCAGGAGGTCGGCTGAAGGGTTGTTTCTAGCTGAGGGTTTAGGGTTTAGGGTTTAGGGGGTTCTATGCGGCTTTACCGTGGTTGGGGCTTTTCGGATTGTCAGGATTTTTTCGGGGCGGAGGGGTAATTGTGTTTTCTGGGTGTGGGACTTAAGAAGTCAACTGCCCACCTTGCCAAGGAAGTTGCTCCGAACTATGGCTTTTCCCAAAGCTAGGTATTCTGACATATCCCGCACATGAACATGGCGTTGCCGGTTGTCTGTTCTACCCTTCGGTTAAAACAGTGGTCGGAATACGTCGTAATAGCACTCCTGTGTTGTAGCCCTTGTGTAATTCCATGAAAATCATCCGAAATCCTGTTCTGCCTATTCT